TAAGAAGATTTTTTCCTAGAACCAACCACAACCAAAGAGTTTCTTTAGAAGTAACGCGAAATAAACAAACCAATTCATCACTACTTCCCAGATTTTTCATCATACAAATGGGAAAATAACTACTGTTCTTGGTAAAACAAAATTTAAGAATACATAGTAACAATCACACTAAAAATTAAAATGAAGTATAATAGTGGCGGATCAACTTGAGGAAAACTACAATGTATATCGAGTTAAAGGAGAGAACAACAGGTTATACCAGCTCTAACTATCAATTGTCATAATAGGGGTTGGATCCTCCACAGTGTAGTTGTGTCATACATAGCAAGGAAAAGAAGAGGAAATGCAAATGAATGAACTAACTACTGATAGGCGAAATAAAAAGAGCAGAGAGTAAGAGCGAGTGGTTGAGTGCAGACCTTTCATATAGAAGGTTTCAGTAAGATGTGAGACTAATCATGGGGTGTGTCCATGTCTTGGATGATGTACCTATGAGAATCATGAAACACAACAGTCATCCCCTTGCAAATGCAGAGTGATCACTCACCAAAGATGACCAAGTCCATCTACATTGAAGGAAAAGAGTTTTAACCAAGTCTAAAGATGAACTGCATAAGCATTGCAGCAGTTTTATAAACAAAACTCTCCCCGCAAGACTATAATCATTATTCACCATTATTAGCCCATGAACAGGCATTTGAGCAATGACCCACGTCAAATGATCCTAATGGGAATAAAAGCCTATGATGCTGAGTATACCAAGCAAGAAGCCTTCATTCCAAGGTGAACTACACTTGTGCCTCAAACCCATAAAAATAAATTAAAGCAAAGGCACCAAATTTAAAAGGACAAACATAACTGGAAAAACACAGTTCCAGCATGCTACAATTTGAGATAATGTAAACATAGAATAGAACAGGTGCTACAGATGATATCTCTATTTATTTCCATGAATGCGAAGCCATATTCATCTCTTTCATTGTGGATTATTAGTAGTATTGCAATTTTGTAACAGCACAAGTGACTTACTCACTGTTTCTCTAGCTAAATACCTATGTCTCTGTTGAAAGTAGAGATTCTGTTAGAAAGAAACAGAAATTATAGATACCCATTTGGATGTGTTACAGTAGCATGGGTTTTTTTAACTTAAGCAAAATACATTACCAGGGTAAGCTGTTCTCGGGTTAGCAATATGCTGCAGTAACTCCAAAACCTTAACAACACCGCCTTAATTCATTGCTTGTAGCCGTTATAACTCTCTGCAGCAACCACAACCCATCAAGGAACATTACCAAATAAAACAATGCAGACAACGCATGTGATGGCAATGTGCAGGGTTAAGGAGTTGTAATAAAAGAATGACCTTTGATACAGGGGAAGCCCAGAAGAGAAGTGATTCGCTGCTGGTAGTTGGTACCTACCCCGATGTACCCTAGCGGGAACGAAGAATCGTCGATTGCATGAAAGTGATTTTGAATAGGAATCCGCGCAGAGGAAGACACCAGAGCTATTCGTGGACAGTAGCGGTAGTGCGCCACTCTCCGGCCGAGAAGATAGAAGCTAACCTTTACTGCATAATGGAACCTACCCGTCCGGCAGCGGGATTGACAAATCCTCACTTCCCAGGCCGGAGACGATCTTTCTTCTCTCTCTCTCGTTCTTTTCTGCTGACCTCCGTCGCCATGGGCTCCACAACCAAACGGAATATCGTCGCCGAAACGGACGAGGGTTCCACCCGCAAGCGTCGCCAGGTAGCGGGTGAATTAGAATTAGTTGGTGATGATGAATTGCCTTCCGATGTTGTGAACGATATTTTGTCTCGGCTGCCAGTGAAAACCCTAATCCGATTCAAGTCCCTCTGCAACGAATGGGCCGCCATAATCACCAACAATCCACACTTCGTCTCCATGCACCTCAAGAACTACACCAATTTTCCCCTCTTGTGCACCTACTCTGCCTCCTTTGGTCCCCAATCGATTTCACTCTGCCCCGAAGCCGAAGCCGAACCCGGTCAACGGCGGCTGATCAATCTAGGCCAGCAGATGGCCAAGGATGTCATCTGTGGCGGTGGGAATAGAGGAGGTTGGTTGTGTGCACTTGCAATGGAGGCAGATACGGTGAGAATGGAGGCAGATTCGAGCGAGGACGGTTCTTTGAGTTGCGGGAAAGAAAAGAGGGAAGGGGAACGGTTGAAATCGGCGGAAATTTGTAGAAATCCCGCCTAAAAGGGTTGCCAAGTCAGATCCTAAAATCACTCTACGAGCAGGAAATTTTAAATGGGGGTTGCAGTTTTAAGTTTCAGCTATAAATTATACTGTTGATTAATCAACAACCACTCGACCAACAACCACCCAAAGTCTTCGTCAATGCCGGAGCTCGCTCGCTCGCTCACCTTGCTACATATAGTTAATTGACTACTGCAAACAAGTCAGTATTTAAGCTATAGAGAGATCAATAATTGTCGATCATCAGTCTCCCCAGACAAAAACAAAGTTACATTCTAGATTTCTAGTCATGAATACTACTGATGCAGTTATGAAGATGATCAGCCAAACTCTGCTCCGTTGTCTGCTGCTGATAAGCTTGATCATGGTGCTTATTATGGGAGGAGCTCAACCTACCTTTGCCCGTCGCGCCCTTCTCACGGCTGGTCAGTTTAGCCCTCATCATCTTTCTTTCGACTATTCAGAATTGCCCTTCTCACGGCTTCATCATTTGCTCTAACGAATCAATTAAATTTCAGGGGAGGTTGCGGGAAGCAAATCGGCACCCGGAAGGCATTGATAAGGCATTAGCTCTCGTATCCGTTCAAATTTTCTGTGAAAAAATTTTTAGTCCCCTCATTCGAATTTCTGGCTTCGCCACTGGATGGGCCTCTTCAAAATCTACACGTCATCATCCTCTGCTATGTATGGTTATGGAGTACTGCCAGTGGCTGAGGGAGAGGGTAACAGGGTGGGTCCCGGGACCCACCCTGGTTCGGGGGAAATGGTTAAATTAGGTACGATAGTTAATTGATATTGAAAACTAAGTCGCGTTTAATTAAGAATAGTTGGTCGAAAAGTTTTGTGTTTGAATCTTGGCGGCCTCATTTCTTAAGCATACAGTATACAGATTTGTGCAAACATCAATTTCGTATAAGTTAACTTTCTTATAAGGGAGCATGGTAGTAAATGGTATAATATATTCTTGAAATCTTCCAACAACTCGATTTATTGATACTAAATATTTTTTTAGGAACATCATTCGAAAGCGAACGACTAGCTAAATCATGAATTATTAGTTGGTATAAGATTTATTATTAAACCTCTATCAACAACTCGAGGTATTGATACTCATCCTAGCTCACTCCATTATCTCCCATTTCTGCACATAAAGACAGTAGAGCAGTTCAAATTCTTTTTTTCCTTTCTCTATTTCTTTATTTCCTCCTATATATAAACTAATTATTAAGATAATAACAATAAAATAATGTGACAGAAAAGGCAAATATGTGTACACATAAGATGAGTGTAGCTAAAGGATCCACAATTCTCTTCACGTATTTAATTAATCCTAAAAGGGATGATTGAGTGCTAATTATTGAGGACACATAACGATTCTTAACAAAGAACACCATTTGAAACACTAAGACTAACTAAATCAATGATTGTTTGGTATATATGCATAGTAATATTCTTAATATTTTCGACTGCTAATGCATTTTAATTTATCAAAAAATTTCAACGTAAGATTATATTAAAAAACTATTTTATCATATTTATTTTTTTCGAGGTGGACTCACTTTAAACGAAATCATGGCTACGCCACTGAGTACTACATCAGGAAAATCCTTCTGTTATATATATGGTGTACTGGTTCATGAAAATGACGCGTAATTAAGTTACACAAACATTGAAAATATATAATTGCCAATGTATACATTTGTCAAATTTCTTAATTTAAATAAGGATATCTTTAAATGATCCGAACTTTACACTAAACGCCTACCCTGGCCAATTTTTTATGAAATGTCTATCTTTGCTAAACTATTACGGGTAAAGACTAATTGGCTCACGGTTGACCGTTAAGTTGGACGATCACCGTTACATTAAATGCCTATCCTTGCCAATCTTATCTGAAATGTTTACCTTGGCTAAACTATTACCCACAAAAACTAATTGGCTCAAACCTAGGGTTGACCTTTAAGTTGGACGATCAACATCGTTGACTAAGGGTCAACAAGCCATGTCATCATAAAAACAAAAACAATTTCTATGTTCTAAATATTTTCTAATTTCTAATTATTTACATTAAATTAAACATTAAAAATCACGGGTATAAGCGAAAAACAAAACTTAACATGTTGGGGGAGAAAGGATTTGGGAGGGTTGGGTTTTTTATTTTTATTTATATTTTTATTTAATTTTAAATATATTTGTAATACTTTGAAAGTAGAACATGTGAAATTTAGGAATTTTTTATATTTTATATAATGACTTGTTGACCGTTCAACTTAGTACAGTTTGAGCCAAATTAGTCTTTATGAATAATAGTTTAATACATAATAGTCGTTTCTGAAAGGATTAGTTAGGATAATTATTTAGTGTAAAGTTCAAACCGTATTAAAATATTAACCTTAAAATTACTTATTTTGTAAATCACTTGTACAAATCACCCAGTTCAGATTTTTAGCATAATTTTTTTTTATGATTCAAGTCGACTCTAATCCAATCGATTTGTCGTAAAAAAAAACCAATCGATTTGGTTGGAACGTAGTTATGAGACCTGGGTCGATAACCGAATCCAGACCCAGCCATGACAACATTGATCTTATCTGGAGTCTGGAGCCCATGGGCCATGCTGGGAAATGGGAATGGGTTAACTCTGTTCTCCAGCTTCAGAATTCATACTTTCGTCCGTTTCTTCGCTGACAGATCACCGCCACTGACAAAGGAAAGAAGAGATCGCCTCCCACACTCTACCGGCTAACGTTTTCCCCCGAATAAAAAAATTGGGAAGAGGAAATGGACGAAAACATTCAGATTGGAGATAAGGGGAAGAAAGTCAAGGATCAGCCACTGATTTGTTGCATGCAACCGAATTGCTCCCGTGTCAACAAGACTGAAAGAATTGAATTCATAGTAGTATGAATATGTACAACAAAGGATAATAGGTGTAGTAATAGCGTCAGGTTTTGCGGTCAGAAAGACGACCGCCCCTTTTTCTCCACCACTAGGGTGGCGTGGCGGTGGAGGGTTGTCAGGCCCCGCCATTGATTCCATTTTCCGCCCGCCCTTCTTTCTCTGCCGTTGCCAGTTACATCGGGGCTCGGAGAAAAAAGTGCGGCTCCAGTTTTCCTCGATCAGATTCGCCAATTCCCAACTACTCACTGAAAATTGATCGGAGAAAAGGCTTCAACTTTGAGTTAGACTGTTAGGTAGGGTTTCGAGTTTCGACCCTTCTTGATTTTGGGCTCGTGGGTCCTTTGCGTCTCTTTCCCTCTCTCAGAAGCTTCCCCTGAAATAGTAAAATCTCCGCTGAATTTACTTCCTCTGTTCCATTTCCTCTTTGCTTGTTTCGATTTCGTTCGTTGATTTTCTTTCAGCAGACTTCAATTTCCTTTTTCTGCTGTGCATGGAGTTTCTCCCCCCTTCTCCTCGTCGCTTACTCTTCTTGAGAGAAGAAATGATTGAATTGCTTTCTTTTCTTTTGGGTTGGTGAAATGATTAATTGCTGTCGCTGTCATGATAGGATGAAGGTTAAAACAATAATTTGGGATTGGTTATTTTATTAGTTAGGAATCAGGGACTGTGAGCGCGAGGGAATCTACCTGAATCTTGCTGGGAATCTTTGTTCTAGGATATAAACTAATCATCAAGCTAAATATAGAAAGAAAGTTGCAATCTTTTTACAAACAGACGTTGTGTTCATTAGTTTCTCTCTGGTCCTTCATTGCTCTCTCTTCTTCTCTTTTGTGGACTGTAGTACAACTACAGCCATCATTTTCAATGTGATTTGAATGTAATCGGAGTTTAAATTCTACCTGGTTTTAAATAACCCTGTGTATTTATGTTTGTGTTCTGGGTTGCAGGCTGTAGGCCATACATAAGAAAGCTGCGCTATTGTACTGGTGGACCAAATGGGTGATAATGAGATTGGGGACGAAGAGGATCTCTCACGTGTTAAATCTGATGTGGGGAGATGGCCTGTTTTCTATTATGGGGTCGGTCACATGCTTAATGATATCACTTCTTCTTGCTGGTTTACTTACCTCTTACTGTTCTTGGCAGACATCGGACTCTCCCCAAGGTAAAAACTTCTAATTTTAACCAACTCTTTTCCAAGTCATCCACTACTATAGAACACAATGTTTTTTTTCCACTGCATTATGTGGGGCTTTGATCCCTGAATAATGATAGAATGTATCCACATTCTCTAGACACATAGCATTGATAGAATGCGAGTTGGTAACTACACAGTTAGCTGAAATTAGTAAATTTTCCTCTCCCCTTTGTGCACTTTCTACTAGTCCAGAGTAAGCTATGTTCATAACAAATTGACAAACAAAATTTAGCGGTAGAATGGGAGTTTGTGGGTTATGTTTCTCCTACAAATCACATCAACCTTGGCATCCTCTATGCACCTTATTATCGAAACCAGTTGCAGGAGGGTTTGTTTAGTTTATTAGACTTTCTGTCGGTTTGGCGCCAGGTGTCTCTGATGATTTGTTCATGTGATCTCTGCTGTTTCCCTTCGTGTCTTGTTTGTTCATTTGGCAAATGGTGTTGAAAGCGGAAGTGATGAATTACGGTTAGGTGAAACAAAGTTAACTCTACCTTTATGGCCTCTTGAGGATACATGTGGATGTAGACTAGTAAATTTCCCACAAGAATGTGAGATGATAGAGAGTTGTACTCATTGAAAACATGGACACAAACTGAGGTAAGAATGGTCAGGAACAGGGTGTGAATTTATTTTCATTTACTTTTCTGTTTTTTTAAGGCATTATAGGGTGAAGGCAAGGCTGAAAAATGTCTTTAAGTTTTGTGTATCGTTATTTTTCAAACTTCACATATCAGATTGCTGTCAGCTGATGGATCCAATTGATCTTATTTGCAGAGATGCTGCAATAGTCATGCTTTCAGGGCAGGTAGCTGATGGGTTTGCTACCGTTTTTACCGGGGAACTGGTACTATTACGACTTTTTCCTGAAACTATAGATTCTCAATAGTGATATCATGTTTAGTGTCCTTGGCAATTTGCTTATTTCTTATGAAATTAAGTATAATCAACCTCAAACCCCCTTAAGTTTATCTTCTACAACTCCCACTTCTCTGAAAATTGTTCAAGACTTTGAGCAGAGATCTCAGCAACTTATGGGACAAGTCTTAAAGGTTCTCATGACCCAAATGAGACTTCTCTCAAATTGGTTTGATCTTTCTCATCTATCATCTACTTCAGTTGAAAGTTGAGACCCATGGCAAGCGGTTGCTTTACCTTAAAGCTAAGCAAGCCAGGGAATACCTGTTCCGAAATCGTTGAATATGACTAGGACTATTGTCTGCAAAAACATAAACTTTTCATTTGACGCGTTTCTTCATGCAACCTAATATGCCTGGCTGCTAGTTTCAGTGGATCAGTGACTTTAAAATAGAAGTTTCTCAGAAATATATACTTGAGCCTCTGATTCATACATGATTATTTATATGAATCTGGGAAATCCAAATGCAGTTGAAACATCTCCTATGTTGTTACCTTTTCTTTTTCTTATCGGCACTAACCGAAAATATTTTTTCCCAATTGGTTTTCTGTTTCATAGATAGACAGGTTTGGACGTTTCAAAGTATGGCATGGTGCCGGATCGGTCTTAGTTGCAGTTTCATTTTCCTCTGTTTTTGGAGGTTGCTTACCCTGTCGAATCTTCAGTACCTGTTCTTCAGTGGTGGAAACCACCTCATACAGTGTATCTGCTGCAATCTTTAATATGGGTTGGGCTGCTGCTCAAGTTTCACACATGTAATGTTCTCCATGCTTTGTTGCTTCAGTACATTGACAGCTTTACTTTTAGTTATATGTATGTTAATATAATTTTATATTCCAAAGAAATTGATATTATTGAGTCCAGAATGCTTCTTCCTGGTATTTCTTTCTTGGTTGTTTCATAGTTCCCTCTACATGTTGCTAAAATCCTTTTTTTTTCAATTAGGAAAGCTTACTCTTGTCTTCTCTATATCCTGAAATCTTATTGTCATATTCATTCTTGTTTGGTTACAAGTAGAAAAAGGGACCAGTGGAAAATTACTTTCCTTTTATGTTATTAATATAGAATAACCGTTATAAAATGTGGATTAATTTGGAAGGATGGCAGGATGCTGACACAATAATTGTTCTTTGTTTCGTCTGGATGTAAGGTCCATGGTCAACTGCATCTCACTAAATTCAACCTCTAGAGTAGTCCTGACAAGCTGCCGGAATGCTTTTACAATGGTTTTGTTCCTTCCACCATTGACATTTTACTTCCTTTACTTGATAATCTTAATCAGGATATTCATGTGGTGTTCTGTTCTCCAATGCTTTTCAGGTTGCAAATCTAAGCCTCTATGCAATTGCCTTGGTAGTCTTCAGTGTTATTACCGGAAAATCCCATGCTGATATTCAGAATCAGGTATTGGCTTTTCACAAGTTATGTTTTTGTAATGTTATTGTTAGCACACAAGGTACGTGATTGATGGGTGTTTCTTTCTGATTTCTTTTTCTTATGAGCAGTATCGATGGATTGCATATTCATCAATCTTCGTTGGTTGTTGTTTCGTTGGGATATTTCATTTCGGGACCAAAGAACCGAGGTATCTCATAGATCTCTTAGCTAAAACGTACTTGCATTCATAAATTCGTTATCAGCTATTGTAGCTTCTTCATTTTTTTCCCCATTGTATACATAGTTTATCTGTCCCTGCTGATTAAAAGATCCACCGGCATAATATAGGTTGAAGATGAGCATTCATGGGAATGACCATATGAGGATACCATGGGCGTATTGGTTCAAGAAAGCTTTATACTATCAAGTTGCCATTGTATATGTACTCACCAGACTAGTATAAAATGTTTCACAGGTTAGCATGCCTTTCCTTTTTACGTGACGCAATTTATCTGTATGAGTGTTGATCTTTATAGTTTATACCTATTGAAGCACACTTGCTGAGTTGCTGTTACATAGGAAAACTGCAGAAAGCTGAAAGTTCATTGTGATATTTACCATCATGTGAATTATGCCTGCTCTGGATAGATCATCGGCAATATTAAGTCTTAGAATAAAGTGTCAGTCGTTTCCTATTGGTATTTAATCATGTAGTTTTACAGCTTGATTCTTTGGTTTCTTTTAGGCGTACCTTGCTTTTTATGTTATTCAAGATTTGCGCATGGCCCAGTCAGCTAAAGCTTTGGTATGCCCACTGACCTTGTTGGCTGCTGTTTTCCACCTTGTGCTTATTTCCTTAAATTGATGTTGATGCTAATACTATGACGATTTTATGGAAATCAGGTTCCTGCAATCCTCTATATCAGCAGCTTTGTAGTCTCTATCATGATGCAGGTTGTCTAGACAACCATAAATAATCTTTTGTTCTCTTTTCAATAAATTTGTGGCCCTTTAATGATTTCTCTGATTCTCATAATTGTAGGAAGTATCATGGACTGGCCGACGCCTGAAAGCTTACTTTTCCATCGGTGGAATCCTTTGGATCTTTTGTGGTGCAAGCATCATTCTTTTACCTTCCAGCATGAAAGTTTTCATGTACGTCATATCGGCATTCATTGGCGTAGCTAATGCTCTGATGATGGTAAGCGACATCCTTTCCAATCAATATGTGATCATAAGAGTTTGAGCAGAATATACAGGGTCATTGTTATAGATCATGCAGTCCCTTCCATTTTGATTTCTAATTATGATGATGAACTGAACTCTGCAGGTAACGGCAGTAAGCATGCAGAGTGTCCTGGTTGGTTCGGATCTCAACGGCTGTGCTTTCGTTTACGGATCCCTGAGCTTCCTTGACAAGATTTCTTGTGGGATTGCACTTTATGTTCTTCAATCATTTCAAAGTAAGTTATCTTCACTTGCAAGGTTCCATTCACGATGCTGTTTTCAGTAGTTTACGTGCAAATAATATCCCTTAGTCGTAGACCTTGCACGAGGGCTTCATTTTTCTTTTACTTGCTATATAGTCCTGGTTTGTCATTAAGCCCACTGAAATGAACTACATTTGCAGGCGGGGCCGCACCAGTAGCCCCAGCAGTAGAGGATGGCCTATCTTCTTCAGGTTATGTTTCAGTAACAAGATATGGTCTAGGTCTGGTTCCGGCTGTTAGTTCGCTTGTGGGAGTTGGCGTGACATTGACAATGAAGCTCCATACACATTCAGGATCACTCACAAAGCCATTGTTGGAGTAACTCAAATTGCGAGCACACGCCATAGCTTCCTTCTGTTCCTGTCGTTTGAACTAGTTCATGGAACCATGAATTAACCACCCCTCACATACAGGAACCAAGTTGGATCTTTGACTCTGTACATTTTTGTTGGAACACCTTGCAAATATATATATGTTATCGTGCATTATAGGTCTATATAGACAGGAGCCAATTGTTGACAGGCCAAGACAACGGGAGTTCTGGATAGAAAATTGTGCTCACTGGAGAACCCATATCATTGTAAAGTTACATCAACAATTTGAAAGAAGATTTGAATTGTTCTCATACTCGCAAATCCCTTTGTCCATCAGGCATCATACATGAAATCCTTACAAAGTAACATCTTGCAAGCATCTTATTTTCATAAATAAGAAAACTTCTTTTGAACAGCTCTCGTACAACAATCACGAATCAGTTCTCTGTCATCTTCGTAGAAGAAGGTAGGCGGGATACGTGAGAGAAGCGGACGGCTGAAAATAGCAAACCGTTTCTCTTACTAGTTTTGTACAGGCAGGAATCAGTGTTCGTCATTTATGAATGGTTTATTGCAGAGCAAAAGGAAAATAGTCCTTGTAAATCTATGTTGAACCATGTCAAAGTCCCTTTCAAATATTAATCTTAGCTTAAACAAAGCATTGTGTACCAAGGCAACCTATTGCTCTCGTCCTACAGAAAATGAAAAATCAGCACTCTCTCACCGACTACACGTTTCTAAATACTCCAAGTGTAACTCTACACAACATTGAGAGCCAAACAAAGTTGGACAGTGATTCAAGGCCGATGACTGGGCTGATCAAGAGTCGGAACTCAAAGGACGCTTCAGTGCCTAAAATGCCTAACGTTGGTAAACAGTAATGCAACTCCGTACTTGTTGCAGCAGTCTATGGCATCCTGATCTCTGATGCTACCACCTGGCTCTGCTATAACACCAATTCCAGCTTGGCATGCTTCTTCCACAGCATCATTCCAAGCTATAAGATGTAGGAGCACAATGCATTCCACAAATTAAAATTATAGATGGTGGGCAACACGGATATCCAATTCACAATGCATCCCAGAATCAAATATAGTGATACATTTCCAAAATCCTTACCGAATGGGAAGAAGGCATCACTAGCCAATGCAGCTCCTTTCACCTCATCTCCTGCCTTTCTCATTGCAATTCTCAAGCTTTCCACACGATTCGGCTGCCCACTTCCCATGCCTAGCATGCAGTTATCCTGCTCAAAGGGGTAAATCATAAATAGAGCTCAAATGGAAGAGAAGCAGCTTTTTGCACAGTCCAAAAGTTGGCTTCCCTGAGTTCTAAGAAAACCTTCAGCTGTACCTTTGCGATGACAATTGCATTGCTCTTTACGTGTTTCACACAAAGCCATGCAAACTTTGCATCACTAAGTGCACTTTCATCTGCTGACTTCTCAGCCACGGCCTTGAACTGGATATCTTCTGGGGTCAAGTCATCTGATTCTTGGGCCAACCACCCACCGCCAACCTGTCTTAGAGAAAGCTTCCCTTTCTCATTCTTTCTTGCCTCGAGGATCCTCAATGTCTTTGACTTCCCACGAAGGGTCTCAAGCCCCTTTTCTGTATACTTTGGAGCCACCACTATCTCATAGAACATTCTTGTCTCGCCATCGGTAGGGCTTCTAAACTCCCTGATTTCCCTAGCAAGAGTCTATAAAATAGAAAAGAGGCAAGGACATTTATCTTTTTTCTCAGTTAAACCACCACTAAGGTAGGTTGCATACTTACATGATGTGGATAAAAAGGGACTTTGTAATATAATCTGAATTAAAGATAAAGAGAAGTAACACAAAACGGCTAGGTCTTTAACTTGACATTCATGCAACTTACCTCATCCACTTCAGTGTTGAAAGCAACAATACCACCAAATGCACTAACTGGATCTGCCTTTACAGCGAGCCTGTATGCTTCCAGGATGTCACTACGAGAAGCCACCCCACAAGGATTTGTGTGCTTTACAACAACGCATGTAGGGCTCTGAAACTCAGAAACACAATTCCAAGCTGCATCTGCATCTAAATAGTTGTTGTATGACATTTCCTGCATACCAAAAGAAGCTGCTATGTGAGGGATGCTGAGAGCTCTTTCTTCACGAAAGAGGTCCATTTCATTTCATGTTATAGTTAATTAATATAGTTTTAACAACGTCGTGAAAGAGGATAACAAAGCTAGGATTAACTCTTTAGGAAGATCAAGTGAATGTTTGATTAAAAAGATGTTAACAAACACAATAATGCACAATTCATCACCTTGCCATGGTGTTGAATAGCAGTTGCAATGCCACCGGCCTTGACCTCTGAAATACTCTTGTCAACATAAAATGCAGCCTTCTGGTGTGGGTTTTCACCATATCGGAGAGAGCTCTTAAGTGACAGGGGAACTGTGAAACTGTGTGGAAATTTATCTTCTGATATAAGAGGGAAAAAACTGATTAAGATATATTAAAACCAAGAGCTGATGTAACAGTTAAACAAGTTATATAGCAAATGCAATTGCATAAGAAGTTTCCCAAACATCACTTGATACAACTTTCATTATCTGTTCCAGCAAAATCCCAAATTCTCTGTCATATTAAGCAGTTCACGGGACAATTAGTTGTCCGGGCAACAATATTATTGATTTATTCCATTCAGACATAATTCTGGATCTCAGCAATCAAAACCGGCTATTAAGAGGTAGATATGCTTGGAAGATAAATTACTGAATACAGCAGATGAACAAATACCTCCATTAGTTTGCTTCCAAAGCCACTCAGAAACTGCAGAATCATAAGAAGCAACGTGTTGGAAGGCCTTCCAGGCAAGCTTTCTACGGAATTGTTGATCATCTTGGCTTGTCTTGAGAAACTCAAGCAGTTCAGGATAGTCTTCTGAGTCTACGACGACCAAGACATCTTTATGATTCTGTTTACCATCAACCACATTTAAGTAAAGAGACATACAACTTATAGTCCTTTATTTTGGCTAGCCAATAATGAAATATAATATAATTATGTCAAAAACACATGAATTAGTAGGATTACCTTAGCAGCTGCTCGTATCATAGCAGGGCCACCAATATCAATGTTCTCAATTCCATCCTCAAATTTGATTCCTCCAGTTGCGGTAACTTTATCATAGAATGGGTATAAGTTCACCACCACAATATCAAAAGTACCTGCGGAGGAGTAAGTTTAGCAAAATATAAAAAAATATTCTCTCGCTGAACAGACTACACGTACATGCCAAATCATTTGTGCTTGGCCATGCCCATGCTGCTAGCTGAAAGTCTAGCTAATAGCCCCACAGCTATCATATTATTTTTAGATCGCATACCTAAGTTAACTTCAGAACGATCTATATATACAAGTCAGAACACTAATGCATGCATGTTCAATGCTGAGCAAATGGAGTGTCTAACAATCGAAAATGACAGTTCTCACAGCAAAGATATCTCATCCCTCAATAAACTATGGCAGAAAGCAGAATAGATAAATGAACTTGCTAATGATACTATGCTGGAATATTGCTAAGATATATAATATTTCGGCTGAACGTACAACCAAGTAAAGGTTGCTGACACAATGATAGTAAAACATTCAAAACATCTCTCGAAGAAGTGACACGCATATGAACGAGAAAATTGTAGCTCAAAGCCAGAAGTGCCGTCTGAATGAGATAGCCACTCTAAGAGGTAATTACCCTATTGTATACTAACCAAGCAAGGAAGCCATGAAGTGGATAAAGGAGAAGGAGTTTATGACTAAAGCATCATCTCATAACTCACCAATTCCATGAGAACTAAGATCTTCCATATGATGTTTTTGATCCCTTCTAGCAAGAATACCACCATGTATGTTGGGGTGTAATGTTTTCACACGTCCATCAAGCTGTTTGAATGTAAGAGCTCTTTTTCAACAGATTTCATTGAAGTCATCAAGAAAAGCAACTTTCACATCAATCTCATGTATTCCAGTCATGAGAATTTCAGTGTTTATCAATGGTATAAAAAAGCCAATTTCACATAGACTCGTGTTTTATAGCTTCCCATCCCAAGCAGAGACATCGAATTTCATAATCCCATCCTCCATATTGGATAACTCTGGTTATAGGATTTACAAGCAATTCCCATTGATAATTCAAGGAAAGCAAATTAAGAAATGGTACCATTTCAGGGAAGTGGGTCAGCTTCTCCACTTTAGTTACCGACACCCCAGCACTTTCCAAAGCAGAAGCTGTACCTCCTGTTGATACAATTGTGTACCTGCAATTCAACCAAGGGATGTTCAACTGACGCAACCTCCTAAAGCATTATAAACTGCTTCCCCTTAAAAAACACTCATATACATGCAAAATACTCCGAGGACCAGAAAGTGCATAGCCCAATAACCTGAACTTGTCATTTGAGGAGAAAAATGGAAACTTGAACAATAATAACACAAGTAGAGACAGCAATGAAATAGCTAGTTACCCTAAACTCTGTAGCCCGTTACCAAGAAAAGCCAAGTCTTTCTTATCCGATAAAGATATCAGAACCTGCTTTTGGCCTGTTACTCAAAATGAAGAGATTTGGAAAAGGAAGTAAGGAACACCAGGCAAACCATCAACTCTGATAAGTAAGCAAACCAAAGACAAGAGTAGAGGGTAGTACCAGAAGGATATGAAGACTGGGCCTCCTTATTCAGCACCGCAACAGTTTGAGACTCGCTCATGGCTTTCAGCGCAAAGGACTTCGATTGCAGAGATGAGGAAGGAACTTGAATGAAGCAATTTGAAGCCTGAAGGAAACTCAAAATTAATCATAAAAAGAATACCCAGAGAACAAAAAGCAAACCCAAAACAAAAGGTAAAAGATGATACCGCTTGACAGGGCGAAATGACGGAGGCGATGGTTTGTCTTTGGTGAAGTAGGCCGTAAGGAGTGCTGCAGTGCGCAGAGCTACCGCCGGCGGCAGCAGCGACTGTCGTCGAAATGGCAGCGGCGGCGGTGGCAGCTGGGGAAACGCGAGTCAAGCCGAACATTGCTACTCCGCAGGCAAACGTTCGAAAGTTTGGGAAACACCAGTTTGCCGCTCCCAAAGGCACACTTGCGGTCGGGTTGCTGAACTTTTGCAGTCTGATGGGATAGGGACAGAGAGCAAGCAGACTGCAGAACCCTTTTTTAGTTGTTAAAATTAAAACCGAACCGGGCAATATGTCTGACCGGAAGAACCGCTACCGGTAACAAATTGGTTAGTTTTCTCAGCGGTTGATAATAGACCCAGAACAATTTTGTGATTGATGGGTTGAATCAGAGGAACCAGTTTTGACGCCTCTCGGTTACCTCTGAAGCAGGAGTGTGCAACAATTTGGTTGTACCGGACCGTACTAAACCAAGCTTATGCTTGAATCGTCTAACCGCATATAATACTGTCCGGTCATTGATCTCAAATAGTTTTGTTTTCCTTCTTTGTTACTTGGTAGTTGGTACTGTCAACCAAAACAGAAACCAGGTCTAACGAATTACGATCATCATGAGCCCCAAGAATTTCACCATCACTCTAGATTCCAGAATACTCATATAACTCTGCCAACATGTTTTGCAGGAACGACAATGCCAATTTTTACCCTGACCATTACAAAAGGTTTGGAATTCACCACAACCAATTATGGACCCTAAGGTCGTTACAAGACTTGGCACAGGGGGACACACAGAGTGAGCACTTCCTATATTAATATCCAAGCAAAATTGACCTGTTCTCATGGTAAACATCAATTCATGGCCTCATAGTCATCCAATTTATCGTTGTACTGAAGCACTTTCCTCCTTATCTTGGATGTGTCCACCCAGGTTATGAAGTCCTCCATGTTCCTTGTAACCAAGAATGCGGGGTCAGTCACAGTCTCCGGGCCTACTCGAACGTGTCCTTGCTCGATATATGTCACGGCTTCTTTCAAATGTTCAGCAAACTTTGCACGCACCAATACAGTTGCAAGCCTTCGTCTACAAAGCAGAACATATGTAGAAAATTATAGCATCTCTCCATAAAATACAAACAGAAATGTGTTGACTGCATAAAAATTCTGGTTGAGCAAACAATTTGCCCTTACCTGCAGAAGGAAGAGACTGACAAGCGGTCACAAAGGGCTAAGCTTTTCCTGCTTGGTATAACCCCCATGTTATACCTGTCATTCAAGGTAAGAACATCAGAACCATAATGTTTCAACCAATATCAGACAGCCTCCTTCACCGTTCGTATAGAATAGCATTATTAACTTGAACCAAAAATTCGATTTCAGCATCTTTACTAGAGCTAACATATAAACTATCACAATAATGAAGTTGATCAGTTCTCTTTAAAGTCGCAAGAAAGAAATATGTCGAAAGAGAGGACTCTATTGAAACAATCAAGTATACTCCTATTGGCGAGACACTGAATCAAATTTTCATCTATTGAATCTAATATCTAACAATCAAGTTTAAGTGGAAACATTAAGACTGACAACATACACATGGATAAATGTTTTCTTAGTTTGGATGACTTAATTTCTAGTCGGATGAGTATAATAGCAACAAACATGTAATTGTCAACAGCAAACGAAAATACCCACCAACGGGGAAAATCAACAGAAGGCTGAATCAAAAGGAAAAAGGGGACTCACAGCTTCTCCAGAAGCATATCAGTCATTTCAATGCGATATGGGTCTTTAGGATGCATCTGTTTCAAGATATTCACCAATTTCTGCACCATTCGGCACAAACCCGAATACCTGATTTGTGTTTCACAGGGGCTCGAAATAGTTAGAAGGAAAGAAAATTAAGACGCACCGAGTTGAAGAGCGAACGAACAGCGAGAGATAGAAAGAGAGGGGGAGAGAGTACATACTTCTTGTAATCATCACGCTCAACAACATGGTAACGTTGCATTACCTGGGCTTCCCTGTGGTTCCCTTCTCTCTTCCATTCTAAGAAGTTTACTTTCTTCAGAAGCTTTTTCTCATGAAATTTCAACTTCCTCATCTTGCTGCTTCACTAACCAATGACTACGAAGATTACTTTCCCTAAAAACAAAGAAGACAACAGGATCATTAAAAAGGAGCAAATGCAGTTACAGATACAATAAAAAGTACAGATAAACTTCCTCTGTCACTGCCGAACCCTGGATATGGCAGGCAAATGAATCATTCATTCCCGATTGAATCCAGAAAAACCTAACATAAAACTATGACGATTTGCCCCCATCAAAGAACAAATATAAGCCTAGTTCCACGATCCAAGTTTAGATCCTTCAATCCTCAAATGGACTTTAATCGGTTAATGATACTATCCTAGAGCTAAACTCTCAAAAGGTAACTAACATACATGGCCGAATGCTCTGAGTTTAAGAGAATACAAAAAGCAAAGCCGAGGGTACAAGTACAACCCAAAAGAAAAAAATTGGGAGTTATCAAGTGAACAGAGCAGAATCCAAGCAGCACTAACTCAATTGGCCAAAGGTACTTGATCCTTGTCTGGGGAAAAAAACAGCTTTCTTTTCGCTAATCATCGTACACTAACTCACTACTAGCACAGCTCAAAGCAGAACAGATAAAGCGATTAAAAACCAGATACAAATCTCAACTCATCTAAAAGCTCTGTCTAGATCAAATACAGGCTCCATAATCTAGCCAATAGGGTAAAAGGGATAAACTTTTTTATCATTATAATAGCAGAAATGGGTCTCCAAACTTTCTTGAAAGCTGAAATCAGATAAGTAAGCAAATTCATTTTCCAACCCCCCACGCACTACACAATGAACTTCACCATATAAGAGCTGCAGAACTATTAACTAGATACAACATGATCAAATCATAGAATCACCAATTCACAATATCGGTGCAGAAAAACATCACACCATATGAATGCCCGCCGACTCTGGAATCAAAGCAAGGGAAAACCAAAAATCAAACCCCGTCGAAGGGAGATAGGGGAATCTGGGATCCAATTTACCTTGAACTCAGGGTTACGATGAACGACTGCTACAACTATTGCAGGCGACGGTGGAGCCTGTCGAACTGCGGGGGAGAAGACTGAAGTGGCGAGGCTGAGGGCGAGATAGACGAGCGTGCGCCTCGGCTTATGCTGATTCGGAATCCCTGAACGGCGGATTAGGGGTTTAGGGGTTTTTGGGATTAAATACATAAATGGTCATTCAACTAAGGGACGTAAGCAAATTAATCCCAAAAAATCATTTATTTAACAAAATGAGTTGGATAAATGATGATGTTATAACAAAATGGTCGCTCCATCTCATTTTCACTCAAAAACATTATTCTAATTTTAAAGTTTCAATGTGACCTATTTACATATAAGATCTTAAAACAATTATTTAATAACTACTGTTAATAATTGTCTGAAAACATATTCTAATAAACTAGTCAACCATTTAAATGCATAAAATTGATGATAAATTTGCAATAAATCAACATCAAATAAATCGTTCAATTTACCAATCAACGCAAAATATGAAGCACGGTTCATTCCAATAATTTGGATTTTTTCCAAAAATACCACTATTTAAAAAAATTACAAAAATACCACTCAACCCACACAAATTCCAAAAATACCACTATACGTCAAAAATCGCACCATCAACGTGCGGTTTACAGAGGAACCGCCTGGGGAAGGGACGATTTCTGCTAGGGCAGCCATGGAAGTACATAGGGAAGCGGCGGTCTTTAGAACCGTCAAATTAGGGAGCGATCCAACGGTGGACCGCGTGCCATGTCACCGATCCGCATCAAGGATCGAAAACGCAGGTCAAGGTGGTGGTTTCTTGCCTGGAAAAACGCAAACCGTTGGCTTGGAAAGCAATTTTTTCGTATAGGGAAAATTACAAAACCACCCCTATATAAACCCCCCTCCCCCTCTCCATTTTTTTCACAGCAAAACTCATTCTTCTCTCTCTCACTCTCTCTCTCTCTCTCAGATTATCTCTCTATCCATCCCCATCTCCCCCAAAAACCTAGGAAATAGTAGTATGTTGGTTGCGGCTAAGTTCGAGCTGCCATCAGAAAATATTTCTTTGGTTTTTCCTTCAAAATCCGTCGAATTTCTGTCCTACTTATTGAAAAAATGGATGATTGGTGCCAATATGAGGGTATTTATTATGATGACTATCAAACAGTATGTACTCATTTTACCAAAATTTTGTTGTTGTTATAATTTTTTAATTAAACTATATACTAATTAATTTATGTTGTTGTTATTCTGTCGTAGGTTGGGAAGGACGTGTATATATACAATCGGAGATATTATGTTGATCAAGGATCGAGTGATCCAAGCGTGTTGTACGACCAACATAACCATCGTTTAAGGGATGTTTGGAACGATCATGAGATAACGTACAATTCTTTATCATTTGTCATTTTTTTTATTTTGTTAACGTACTTAGTGGTTTATAAAATAAATTTGATAATTTTTAATCGTATTGATTATTCTCAATGGTTTGGGCTAATACAATGCGCCACTTACTTAGACTCTTTATAAAGAGATGCATGCCTAAGAAAATGGGGTCTTAAGCGATAATGATCATGATCCTTCAATTTCTTGGGAAAATCGGGTTTTAAACGATCCTCGGATCCCCCCTTTTTCTGTCAAAAAGGTTGCATTTCTAAGAAGATGTATACATCTTCTAAGAGTCTAACGAGTGTACTTGTATTCGATTAAATTATTAAAAACAACCAATATGATTTACACAATGATGTAATGGATTTACGGGTATGTGTCCATCAATTTTATTAAATTTAAATATTTGAATATGTATCTCTTTAAATTATTATTCATTTATAATGATATTTATTTTAATTAATTGAATATGTTTGTTTTACGAAATTATGTAATATCTTGGAAAAAACCTTGATTTTGTTTATTTAAATTGTTTGTTATAATAGATTTATAACTTAGTATATCATAAACTTATGGTGAAAGTTAAAATTTTCACTAGGATGCAATGTGCTATAGGGGTACGAGCAATGTGCTCCCATGAAACGACGCCATCTTGCCCTTTCTCAAAAGGGCAAGGTTAGAGTCGATTAGGCACTTTGTAGGGATAAAGATCGACCGTCAACTCATCACCGCATTGGTGGAGAGATGGCGAAAGGAGACATTGCTTCAACTTTCACGAAGGAGAGTGCACCATCACACTAAAGGACATCGACATCAATGTGGTGTGTGTGAACCATCTTCCACCACCGGATGTTAGCGGGATGACCGGTTGGCAGAATTTTCTCTACAATGTTTTGGGGTTACGAGTTCCAGTCAAGGGAAGCGTTGATGCGCAGTATCGCAACCCATCATTGAGGAAGAACCAAGTTTCAATCACTGGTTGATGAAGGCGATCAGGACAAAGCACGACCCTGAAAAAGGCGGGATCCCCTTGACCTTTGGAAAGTCCAGAGGCGGAGAAGGAAATTTATGATCGTGTCTATCTCATAGGCATGATCGGAAGAGTGTCCTTCCCCAAGAAATCCAACAATTTAATTAGTTGTGGGTGGCTGAAGATCCTCCTTGGTGATTGGAAGGAGATAGGGAATTTGAGCTGGGCATCTGCTTGCGTAGCTCATGTCAACCACCATTTGTGTAATGCAATTCCCAAAGCTATGAAAGAGATTGGCGGGGTGATGTTCATCATTCAATTTTGGACTAGGGAGCATCTGCCATGGATTGCACCGGTCAAACTTGCCGACAAGGAATGTGGACCCGATCATCGCCTAAGGCTCCAAGCTTATGGTTGTAGGTGAACTTCTCATACTCACTCATGATTTCAATAACACAATATATATTTATTTAGTTATAACATTTTATTATTGTCCTTATTAATAAGGTGGGTTGGAGCCACAACATGCGACAACCTTTCCGATCACAAGTTGGCAGAGTATCATATGAGGCTAGAGAAACTTTGGGAAGGAGAGGTAACTATAATAATGTGAAATTCTTCATTTGTTATTTTCAACATGTATTATACAAATTCGTTTAACTTAATTTGGTAATTTATTTTGAAGATCGTATACGATCCCTACCCTGAGAACATCGTTCACTAGCATTTAGAGCAATTCCTTGGGCATTCCGATCAATGGTGCACGAGAGTCCGATCATTTGCCACCATATTATGGAGTGGCACCTGCCGGATCGATGCTTACGTCAATGGCCTTGGGATATTATGGATGACAAACATGTGCAAGTGTTCACCGCACGAGATGTGACCTAATGGTCGACTCTCTTGCTGTTGATGGCCCGGATCCTATCCTTGCATCCCTTGTGTTGATTTTGACATCTAACTATGAGCCTCTTCACGTTGGAATGAGTTGTGCATCATTCAAAACTCCGAGTCATTGCTTCAGTCTCAATAGCGTGTCGCACCTCCTTCTTCGTACCAAATTTTTGGCCCTTCATAAACCCAGTGAGTGGACCCCATATTGGCACCTTTGGCGACTCCATGTTAGCGTTGACATACCAATTTTCATTTGGAATGTGATTGTAGTACGAGATACGTACACGGTCACGAGACACCTCATCATCATCTGACTCTGACTCTGGTCCTGAATCTTCAACACCTTCAAGAGGGTCGAAGCTGTCTGCACTGACATTGCCTTCTCCTTCATCATCCTCAGGATCACAACTGATCATGGCAGGGCATCTTCCATATGATCCAGATCATGAAAGGCACCTTCATCAGCTCTGTATTGGTAGTTGTGAAAACTATCGCCGCCTGAATGAAAGTTGTACTCGTGTTCGTACTAGTAGCCTTCTGCCTTCTTGTTGGTTGTCATGGTACCCTTGGACTTCTTCTTCATATGACGAGAAGGATTGATGATGACCTTCACCTATATCTTGGTACTCATGGTAGGAATGAGGATCATGCATTACGAAAATGACAGTCATAGTTAGGGCTGGAAGTTTGGTACCGATATTTGGGATATACCGAATACCGTACCGAATTTGTCTATATTTTGTATTACCGAATACATGTATTATTTCTTGGGATTGGGAATCCATTTCAATTGTTATTTGGTATTAGGGATTACGAGATTGGGATCGGTATAAACCGAAATACCGAACAATACCGAAATATAAGCTAGTGAGTATTTTATCCTCTCAACTAGACTCTCTCATTCACTACTACAATACCCTCAACCACCAATCTATTGTTATTTTCATAACACCAAAAAACAAACATTAGTATTAGTCTTCTCTCAGCCTCCAATTCGTCAAATTAAAAATTACCAATGATAAAAACTTGACATGTCACCTCTACTTCATTCTCCTTATCCATATCCTAGCTCTAGCCAAACTCAAAACTCCTTGTTTAGTCTCTTTGTTCTATATTAAACAATCAAATCTAATTTATATATTTAATTATTAATTTTAAAGGTATTAAGTTCGTATTCGATAATACCGATTGAGATACCGAAATATTTAGGGATTGTGATTCGGATTGATTCTATGGTGTAATTCGGTATTCGGGTTTCGGTATTTGGTATTGGGATGACATTATTTAGCGATGGCAGGTCAAATTCGTCGAAAAAAAAGGCTTTTAGGGACGACATTACACTTTCGTCAATAATGTTTCGTCAAAAAGTTATGTATTTGCGTCAATGTCTATATCTTGTAAGTAAAAGTATGAATCGTTGTCACTAAGTTGACTTTCCGGATGGAAAAGTTGGCACGTAGGTTATCGGTGTTTAATAGACTTAATCATCGCTAAAAAATAGTCTTGGGCTGAATTCGTGATCTGTAGCCTTCAAAATCTAAGGAAAATGGCTTTTCGAAAAACTCACGCAAAAATTACAAAAATGCCCTCCGAAAAAAGCAGGCCAAATCGGCGATTAATAGACTTCATCATTGCTGGAGAGTAGCCTAAGGGAGAATTCGGGATCCGTAGCCTTCAAAATCCAAGGAACACGACCTTTCGCAAAAATCGCCTAAAATCAGCAATGGTACCCCTTTGGAATATGCCAAAAATGGCCCCGAAATAATTATACCCAAATCGGTGTTTAATAGACTTAATCATCGCTAAAGAATAGCCTCAGGCTGAAACCGTGATTTGTAGCCTTCACAATCTAAGGAAAATGGTCATTGGAAAAAATTGCCCAAAAATTGCGAAAATGCCCTCCGAAAAAATTCTAGCCAAATTGGTGATTAATAGATTTTATCGTTGCAGGAGAGTAGCCTAATGGAGAATTCGTGATGTGTAGCCTTCCAAATCCAAGAAAAACGGCATTTCTAAAAAATCGCCTAAAATCTGTGATGGTACCCCCTTTGGAATCTGCCAAAAATAACTCCGGAATTATTCTGCCAAATCGGTGTTTAATATACCTAAATATCACTAAAGAACAACATTAGATTGAATCTGTGATCTATAGCCTTCAAAATCTAAAGAAAATGGCCTTTCAAAAAATTTGCCCAAAAATTATGAAAATATCCTTCGAAAAAATCAGGCCAAATCGGCGAATAATGGACTTCATCGTTGCTAGGGAGTAGGCTAAGGGCGCATTCGTGATCCGTAGCCTTCAAAATCCAAGAAAAACAGCATTTCGCAAAAAAATGCCTAAAATCTGTGATGGTTCCCCTTTGAAATTTGCCAAAAATGGTCCCGAAATAATTTCGCCCCCAAATCGGTGTTTAATAGACTTAATAATTGCTAAAGAATAGCCTCATGTTGAATAAGTGATCGTAGCATTCAAAATCTAAGAAAAAGGACCTTTTGAAAAGCATGATAACTAATCCATGAAAGAAAAGGAAACATTAATAGAATATGAAAGGTATGTGTTATAGTAGTCAACAAGAGGAAAGTACCACATTGGTGGAAGAAGGAAAGTGCAAGTGGTTTATAGTCTAACTTCCTACTTTATTTTATTGAATAAAGTAATAAGTGAGTTTTGGAAAATGGTGCGTAATTTAATTTGACATATTAAATCGCACTACGCACTTAGAGACTATTGTTGCGGATTGCGGTTAACCACTAATCATAGTTTCTCGATGCTATGGGCAATAGAGCCTTCTGTTTAGATCTTACTGATCTTTATGATTTTAGATCTTTGATTTGAGATGCCGGGATGTTGTTACCTCAGTAGGTGTGAATCCGTGAATGTACTTTGTCTGAGTTTTCCGTCTATCGGGATCTATGCCAACTACACTCTACGAACTCAAAATTCAAATGTATGTGTTATAGTAGTCAACAAGAGCAAAGTACCATATTGGTGGGAAAAGGAAAGTGCAAGTAGTTTATTAAATAAAGTAATATGTGGGTTTTGGGAAAATGGTGCTCAATTTAATTTGACATATTAAATCGCACTACACACTTAGCAACTGTTGTTGCAGTTTGCGGTTAATCACTAACCATAATTTCTCGATGCGGTTAGCGGTTTAACCACAAAACTGCAACCGAATTCCCAACCCTAGTTGCTATGGGCCATAGAGCCTTCTGTTTAGATCTTATTGATCTTTATGATTTTGGATCTTTGATTTGAGATGCCGGGATGTGGTTACCTTAGTATAGGCAAATGTACTTTGTCTGAGTTTTCCATCTACCGAAATATCTATGCCAACTACATTCTTTGAACTCATTTGTCCAGCCAAACTCGACTTTTCTCGTTGAGCTCACCTATTGAGTCGAGGGTTCAACTCGAGTAGAACTCGAGTTACCATTTCGCACAAAGGAACCAAGCTCAACATAAACTCAAACCTAGGTAATTTTTCTCAAGTTGAGCTCCAACCATGAGAAAACTCGACTCAACACTCATCCGAAAGAGAACGGAAGTGACGTGGAAAGTGAAAAGCAATATAATGGATCAATGTGATTATTTTCTACAAAAAAATGTTCCGGGTGGGCGGCTAGAAGTTTCCCAAACGACATACTCCACTCACATAAAGCTAAGCCCAAATGATCAAGTCTGGCGGCGTTGGAAAATTGAGGCACCATGAAGAAAAGAAACGAAACTTCTCCCAGTTATATATGAAATCTCTGCAGAGCATGCAGCAGCCATATTTCGTAGCAAAGGAGATAAGAAGATCGATATATATATGGAAGCAGTAAAGATGGTGATGAGAAAGGCTCTCCCTTTCTTCCAGCTGACAGCCATAATAATGTTCATGGTGCTGATCATTCTGTCTTCAGCAGTTCCGGCAGAGGCCACCCGCCGACTCCTCCAACGTGGTAAGTAGTGTTTTTGGGTAAATGCCACATTTGGTCACTGAGATTACTAAATTGAGTCATGTTTAGTCACTAGAAAAATTTAAAATCAATTTTGGTCACTCGAATTATTGGAACAGGTCACTTTAGTCACTCTCCCGTTAGTTTTTGTCCAACTCAATTAAGGGAGTTGGACGGAAACTAACGGGAGAGTGACTAAATGTGACATGTTTCAGTAATTCAAGTGACTGGAATTGGATAGAGGCTAACGGGAGAGTGACTAAATGTGACCTATTTCAGTAATTCGAGTGACCAAAATTAATATGAAATTTTTCTAGTGACTAAACATGACACGATTTAGTAATCTTAGTGACCAAATGTGGCATTTACCCTAGTGTTTTTTTTATAAAAGTGATATATGTTTCTTTTTTGCGATTAAAATATTATTTAAAGGATTCGAATTTGGGATATCAAGATTCTAGATTAGTGGACTTACTTAAGTAGCATTATTATTATTATTATTACTAAGTTATGTTATTCTAGAGAATACTATAAGATTCATACTTCATCAGTCTCAGAATTATTAAGATGATCAATTGATTCTGTGCACAATAATATAATTCTTTATCAAAGCGTTTCGTATTCGAAACTCGCATCCAACCCAATGTATACCTCCTTATTCAGCAGTATTATATGAAAAATAAAAGAAAACCATAATTCATTGACTTAATCATCAGTCCATCATTCATTGACTTGCCATCTATGTAATTATGAATAAATAATATTAGAGTATGTTCTACTCGTATGATTATAGGGTTCAGATAAGATTAAGGGGTTGCATTTGCAGCAGCTGGTTGTGGAAAACCAATATTGATATATATTGAAAAGTAACGACATGGTTGATCAAATTGTACGCAGGACCCACGGTACCATCGGGACCCAATCCTTGTAGTTATGTTCCTGGAACTGGCAAGTGTATTGGACGACATGGATAAACCTCCCGGCGGCCGGCGGTGTATTCCTATACATCTCAATGTATTTTGTTTGGCTGGTAATAAAAATATACTAATGGGCATAGAGATCGTACTATGAGCCTATGATCAGTAAATAACTGAAAATCACTTTATGTTCTGCAAATCGATTCTGGTTGTCAAGATTATTCATCATATTAGAATGTTGGGAAAAGCTTCGTACTTTCCCGCTTCGTGAAGTTAAGATAGGCACTTGAGTAGTGATGGGAGCACACAAGTATAATTCTCCAAATTTGGAGAATTCTTCTACTATACAAAATAATAGTAGGCTTACAAGAATAACTCACTCTATGGTGGCTCACTCAAGCTTGAGGATAGGAACTTCTCAAGCTATCTCTCTTCTCTCCCTCAAAGAGACTCTCACCTCTCTCACTCTAGGAAGTGGTTTTTCTCTTTATGCTTGGATGGATTACAAATGAGGAGCACAAGTCCTTATATAGCTTCCACCTCCTCAGATGGACGGCTAGGATTGATTTGATCCTACGGTTGTGGATGAGTCTCCAGAACTCTCCACAAAAATATCTTCTTACACTAAAAATATCTACATACAAATATCTATTCTCTAGAATTATCTAGGGAAGGCTCCATCTCTACAAGGTTCCACACTCCTCCACACTCTTCCATAAGGTTCTGGAAGGTTCCACACATCTCCAGAACATTCCAGAGGATTCCACACTGTTCCACAAGCTTCTAGAGAGTTCTATACTTCTCTAGAGTTCTCCGGTTGTTTCTAGGAAATTATTTACTTCTCTGATACGTTCAACCTGTGCAAACCGTATAAGAAAATCCCGAAAAAGGTAGGCTTTTGTTTGAGGGGGCGTGTAAGAGATTAAAAAGTTTAACAAACCCTTTCCCAAAAACTCGAGTTATTGGGACCAAGTGGTTAGTCTCACTGTTCTATGCATTTATCTACAATCAGATCAAGTCATCCGTTCTTGGAAGGCCTTAATGACAGTTTCTCTCATATCAGAAGCCAGATTCTTCTCATGGAGCCTCTTCCTCTGATCGCGCGCGTCTTCTCTCTTGTCATTCAACACGAGAAACCAATCAATTCGGCTGGTGTTGGCTCTTGGTCCCATCCTCTGGCTCTTGCTGGTCGTTCTTCGTCGATTCAAGGTCGGGGGAGAGTTGCTTGATAACACCTAAAATAGGCGTTATCTAGCCTCTATTCTCAAGGCATTTGCATGCTAAATCACCGTGTTTAGGCCACATATCGAGTTATTTATGCCCATATGCGTTCCTATTTGCAAAATATGCATTTTGGCTTAGGTATTATTGATATGAAGGTTATCATAGGGGAGCCGACCCCAATTTGTGATATTTTATGCTTTCCCAAGTGTTTGTGATGAAATTCCATGTCTTATATTCATTTGGGATTGATCGCGAATCGATTGGAGCTCATCCGGGCACGATTTGGAAGCATGGGAGCAAAAAGGGGAGAAAAAGCACTGGTCACAGTCACAGGTCGCTGCCCTTGACTAGGCCGTGACGATAATTGTGGTCTGTGATTGTGGCCGCGATCAGTGGTCACGATCTCCAGCAAGCGACCAAGAAGAAGGCAGAGAGTTTCCTCACCCGGATCTCGGTCGTGGAAGATCGCGCCCTGGACCCAAAAGATCGCAATCGTGATCTCGCGAAGGAGGCTACGATCTCGGAACTTAAAGACCGGACAAAATGCGCCGTTTTGGGCGATTCAGAGACGTTCTAGGTGGTCAAGCCCTGGTCACGACCATGACCATCAGGTCACACCCTGGAGGCCTTGACCACCATCAGCTTTATATAAATACCCATCTTGCTGCACTTTTCAAAGGAGAGCCGCCTTGGGGTGAGAAAATTAGGGTTTTTGAGTGCTTTAGAGAGAGAGACACTTTGGGAGAGCTTCAATGAAGATCCATTTAACCCAAGAAGCAAGGAGAAGAAGATTGATTCCGTCATTCCCCTCTTCTAGTTTGTATTTTCTTCTTTTCTCTAATGACTTGAATCTCTAGTGCTTGTTTAGGGTAGATGAACCCTTGTGCCGTTCGTTTCGTTCTTGTGCGATAGTTCCCCATTTACATGATGTGTAGCATTCACGTTGTTGCTAGCGAGGAAGATGGGGGCATAGGATTGGCCCATGACCCAAAAGTTGACCGATGCTAGTGGCTGTTGATTGTGCATGCTTGTGCTTAGCAATCTAAGGGTTGTGCATGTTTTGCGCTTAGCATTCTTAGATTTGTGCATGTTGGTGCTTATCAACCTAAGGATTGTGCATAATTGTGCTTAACATCCTTAGGTTTGTGCATGTTGGTGCTTTGCAATCTAATTAGCCATTTTAACCTAGCTTAGAGAGGAAAATCCCCCTTCCAAGGGAGACTCAATCGAGTTGGTTTTACTTTAGCTTTTTAAGCCACCTAACTAGGTTAATTTAGGGCAAATCTCAATGTTGAATTAGGAAAATTGGTTAAGCATAGATTCCAAACTACGTTGAAGTTGCATTACCAAAGAAAGTAGGGTGAGATATGCAATGCTAGACTATAGTTGTTGCTACTACTTCTACAACGGCTTGCTGCAATTGTTTCTGTTACTGAAGCTACCTTACTATTGTTGTTGATGTTGCTACGTCTGCAAATTGCAACAGCTCGGGATAAATATACACCTTTCCCAACATTTCAAGGGTTACTGTGGAAAACTTGGCTAGATTATCAAATATCAACTATGTTTTTCTTCAGTTCAAGCATTCTTATGTACTTGCAACTTTCAGTAGGAAGTAGGAACAATCAACAATTGGTCAGTGTAGAAGTGAAATGCAAATATATAGGCCAACAACAAATGCAACTCATTCAGACTCTACTACTGCTACCCCTTGAGAACCATATTCTGGCTCGACTTTGTTATCCTTCGAGCTTCGACTCATGTAGCGCATGCAGCTTAAGGTTTTATCTAAGTAAATAGACTATAAATAATGACAAATACCTTCCGCGACACAATATAATAAGCCATCTCAATGTGCTCCAGAGCTTGGGGAATTCATCAAACAAAATTGAGCAAATGCCCTATAAGTAAAGTTAGTTTTTTTGGATTTTTTCTGTACATTGATTCTCGGGTTGGAGCATCGTGTTAAGCCTGATTTTAATAATGATTGAACTATGATTTTAGCACCAAATACTCTAATGCTAACTTTTTTGGTACGACCTTAGAAATGGTTTTACAATTTTAAAAATACATACGGTACATATACATGTATTAAAGTATTTAGTATCTATAAGAGAAATTAAACTTGTCAAATGTCTTGTCCTCCAGGATATCCACCGTAGCAACCACTTGTTGCTGAAGAATGAAGAATCGAATGTCATGCCCATCACTTAAGAAAAGTCACAGTTGTGTAGGATAACAAAACTCTTAACTTCTTTTCTGACTTTAATAATATTCATGGATGTTATGTTCTAACATTAAATTAAGATCTTAGTAACAATAAACTCACTGTTAAAGAGAAGGAAACTGTTGGTGGAAAGTGAGAAAACAATGGGTCAATGCAGAACAAGTCTTCGGTGTGGTGGCGGGCCCGTACGTCGGCCCGAAGTTGAAGTACATGCATATACTATATCCCACTTGTGTGAATGTATTATATAAAGCCAAGTGTAGAAGTCAAGTCTGGCGGCTCGATCTACTCGGCAAATTTATGGGCCATAAAGAGAAAGGCAGAGCGCTTCTCCCAGTTATCATATATATATATGAAACCTCTCTTGTCTACCATACGTACAGATATGGAAGCAATCAAGATGATGATGAGAAAGGGTCTCCCTTTCCTTCAACTGATAGCCCTACTGTTCATGGTGCTCGTCCTGTCTTCAGCAGTCCCAGCAGAGTCCACCCGACAACTCCTCCAACGCAGTAAGCAGCTACGTACATAGCGTTTTTTTCTCTCGATTAAATCGTGTTATCGTAGAGAATGTTATAAGATTCATAATTAGATCGCTCCCGAGTCCTCCTGTGTCGCAGGTAGGAATTGTCCTTGGATAGGAGCTTGTGGAAGCAAGTCAGGTCCCGGCCCCAAAGGCTGATATATATATAAGACTGAAATAAATAGAAAGAGGATCCCATGTAATAATGGGTATGGGATCGGAGATATCTCCAACAAATATATTGATCATTCATTCAATTGCATGTATTCTTGCATCTGATTTTGAATGTTAAGACTGTAAGTTAAAAGAACTGATGGGAATGATTAAGGTGATGGTGAAATTGTAGGACCAGTGCCGTCGGGACCCAACGGTTGTTCTCATCGTGCCGGGGGGAGTGTCTCATGCGTTGGAGGACGTGGATAAAAAGTATCTATCGTGGGGATTGTATTTGTACGTCAAAAAATATGAATTTTTGTTTGATTAATAATTTACCGGGGAACAATTATAATATCGTGGGATTGTATTTGTAATATATAATTAATTTACTGTTGGATCATCCAAGTCAAGATTGAGTACAGTCCCTGTTCAAGATAAATTATTATTATTATTATTATTTGTATGATGAAAGATATAGTATATAGTCTTTTTATGATGGCAAAGGACGACATTCTTTTCAACGTTTATGGAAGATATGAAAAAATTCATACGACCTTAGTTTAATTTAGGGCTAATTCCATTAGGAAGCCAAACTATCCCAAAAATGTTATTTGTGTCCTAACCTATTCAATATTATAAATCTGGCACAAACTATATGTATTTCGTGACATTTGTGTGCTAAACTATTCGATTATGACAAATCTGGCACACACCACATAGAAGCTGACTGGATTTTCTGTTAAATACTAACGGTCAACGCCGGTCAACATTAATGAAAAAATAGTTCGTGCCAGATTTGTCACATTGAATAGTTTAGGACAAAAATGACACTTTTTGAATAGTTTGGGCTTCTTAGTGAAATTATCCCTTTAATTTATAAATGCAAAATCAAGATCGTTAACAATGTCATAAACCAGTTGGTCCCAATAACTCGAGTTGTAGGGAGAAGGTTATGTTGGATCTTATATCACACTCTAACACGCCCCCTCAAATCCAAGCCAACTTACGGGCTTGAAGTTTGCACAGGCCCACCATACCTTGTGCTTTAATCAATCGTTAAAATATTGAGGGTCTTGGAGATTCGAAGACACGACCACTTGGCCAGA